CTTATTTCTTAACAGATACTAGATTACCAAGCTTCTCAGTGTTTCTTACTCTAAAGCACTGAATTTTTATAAACCTGCAATTTTTCTAAAAAGTCTCACAGCACATCAGTTTAAAGACACTTTTTAAACCGTTCTATTTCAGAATTCGCTACTTTAACAGTTACTCATAGAACCAGGTGGTGAACAGAAAAAGAAAAATTGATGATGTGTCAGGATTAATCAGTCTTTCTTCAGAAAACTGTTATACTCCTGTTCTCCTGCCAATATCTTCTATTTAAAATTAAATAGGAAGATGTAGTTTTTTAGGTGGTAACTTAAACAGAAAAGTTTCTTTTTCCTGATAAGTTTACTCTTATTTAGTGATTTAGCAATTAAACGTGTATTATCTTTCCAGCAAATGAGTAAACTTTGTCAACTCTGTGAATATCTGAACTGTATCTTTTAAAAAGTTTCTAATTTTTATTTTGCACCTCCATCAGAGGAAATTACCAGTGAATAAAAATGTGTTGGTAAATGCCTTTCTGCATAAATACCTTAATTACTTTTTAAATGCAAGATAACAGTGATTATTCAGCTTGAGGAAGTTTGTTAACTCAAAGTTCGTCTTACAGAAATAAATACGTTTAATTTCACTCAAAAACCTAAAGATGACGTGAAACTGTGATATCAAGTTTCCACAGGAGGGGGCAGTGTTTAGCTTTCTACCAGCAGGAGTCTATGACGACGTTCTGTTGACATCCTGTTGTTAGCCGCTTAGCTTAAAATTAGCTTCGGCTAAACTTGGTTAAAATCAACATTTCTGAACGGATTTAAAGCTTAAACGTGGCGTTGTTTCAACAAGCACGACTTCTTTGCATTAACATGAGTTTTTGGGGACTTGTGGCAGCTTTATTTAGTGATTTTAAGCACAGCAAAGGGCTTCGGTGCAACCAAGCTTTACCATCTGACATGGAGAAAGTGACGTGACACGTCACTCATCCGGTCGTTAGCTGTTAGCTTAAAATTAGCATCACTAGTGTTGTTCAAAAACATCATTTAATGACGGATTTTAAACTCAAACGTGGCAAAATTTCAGCGATTATGCTTCAAAGACACGGAGCAGCGTATCAGAATCAACTTTAAAGCGTTTTCCAACTTTAAAAAGCAGATTTTAATTCCCTAAGAAGACGAGCTTCATTTCCGGGTCACGTGACTGAATCTACCAATGACAGAGCAGCACGGGGGTGGGCTTTACGACCTGACACGTCAGAGTTAGTCACGACTGACACGTCTCTCAGCCAATGAAAGCATTACACACGGCCGTTTTCAACCAATCACAGATCGCCATTTCAGCTATCTGTAGCATTTAGCCTGAACAAGTCCGTCAACTTTTCGTCTTTTAAACTGTCAAAATGCACTATTTTCTGTTAAAAATGTAACGAATCAGCTCTCACAGCTTCACTGAGACTTTGCCCAGTCCTTAAAACGTTTCTCCATCTATTTAAAACAACTCGTTCGAATTTCTCAGAACCGAAACCGGACCAAAACCGGGTCGGCAATAGAACCTCCGTCCTTTTAAACAGAATAAACGTTTTCCACAGCTCATCAGCTTAGTTACACACAACAGATGTACAATTTCAGCTTTCATAAAGACTCAATGACTCACAATATCAGCTTCAAAGCATCACAGCTGCACACATGCTGTATTTTCTCCAAGCATCCAGCTCAGCTGCGTTTCACAGCAAAATCTGCACTTTTTTTTTCATGTCAACATGTAAAATCAATTATTACACGCATACACAGTCCGTTTATGAACACGTAACGGGCCACCAGTTGTAGTATGAACATATGCATGAGATATATTCATAAATTAAACGGATTCTTTCATTTTTCTGGACTGTATAAAACGTGCATTGAATTTAATAAAATGTGGACGTGAGACGTTAATTATCTTTGACCCATCAAAATGAATGCGGTCATTTATTAACAGAATCAAGTTTAACACATCACAAATTTAAATTAATTGACAAGAATTGAAAATAACGACAGCTTATTAATCAGTTTTACAGGAGTGATAAACAATGCGGCGATTGTTTTCTCACTATCAGCAGAACAGCAGACGTCAAATCACACGGCGGTGATTGAAAACTTTGCTTCAGACATTTCTAAAATTATCTGTAATGATTTTAGCAGATAGAAGAATTTTAAAGATGGAAAGATGAAGTTTATCTACAGAGAGATGTGTGAGGGAATTTGTCTGTTTTAACCAGAACCGCACGCTCCTTTGGACCAGCTTATTCCAACGGTACACTTTCGATTGAAGATCGACTTTTTACCTTTTCTGAAGATATATCAGTTCCGGCGTGAAGTCCCACTTCGAGCCACCTTTTCAGCGTCTCCGTAAGAGCAGCTAAAAACCTCGGGAGTCGTGTGGAGGTCATCCAAAACAGACTTTCATAATTCCCAGAATCTCCTCTCGTTCAGCTTAGTGGCAGCTGTATTGAGCATGCTGCATTCCAGCATTCTGCATTCTGGAACTCCAAACTCTCTGGTTGAACTAGGAAGTGCCAACATTTAAAGGGCTCTACTTCCGGTTCATTTGGGAGTTTCTGATTGGTCGATGGACCAAAACAGAGGTGTGTTTTGTGATGTAAGATGTTATGAAAAGTCAAGGAAAAGATTAAGATTGTTTAAGAACAGACAGAAAGATATTATGAAGGAACCAGACTTCGTGGAGTCACCTCTTCCAGTATCTTGCTGTAAAAGTTAAACATGACATTTCTTTTCAGTAAACTTTCAGTTGACCGAAACTTGAACTTCGACACACTTACAACTTCGCTCATTGAAGACAGAAAATCAGACAATGCATCATTAACCTGATTTCTTCTTTGAATGAGGATTAAAAATCGTTATTACTATTTCACAGTTGATTTAAAAATGAGTAGTTCACTTCAACATTTAAACATTGTTTGAACTAACACAATTTGATTATCAAACATTTGTAAAATGGTAATGATAATAGAAAGTAGTCTTCTTTTACTTGATTAATTCAAGAAAGAAAGTCGCAGGATGGGTCAACCTGTATTTCTGGATGCAAATCAATGAAATGACAAGTTCTGTCCCATACGGTGCCTTAGGGTCAAATCCTGACCTTAGGTCTAGTTCACTACACTGATACAAACAAAATGGGTTTCTTTGAATCAGAACTTCAACTGGGTGTTAGCTTCCTTTATTGTCATGGCAACCAGTCTCTGTTTATAAGGCCAAGTGAAGCTCTTTGCTCAAGACCCATCTTCAGTAGTCTCAAAATCTGGTGGCTCAACATCAAAGTCAGAGTCAGAGTTTCTTTATTGTCATTCGCACCTCATGTGGTACATGTGGTGGAGCGAAATTATGTACACAGGGTCCCAGTTACATCCAACAATAAAATGTCTAAGAAAAACAGTAATAACATCTAAGATATGAACTAAGAAAAACATCAACTAAATATACACTAAGCACTCATAACATAAAACATTGAACATCAGCACAAACATGAACATGAGTCTGTGAGCAGATGTGCACGCATGAACACATCAACATTGAAACAGATCAGCAGCAACATGAAACAGATCAGCAGCAACATGATATGGTTTTTCACAGTGATTATTCTAGTTAGAGATTCATGAGTCTAACAGCCTCAGGGTAGAAGCTGTTCCTCAGTCTAGTGGTTCTACACTTAATGCTCCTTAACCTCCTTCCTGAGGGGAGTGGGGCAAAAAGTGTGTGTGCTGGGTGGGTGGGGTCCTTCATGATGCAGGTGGCCCTCTTCCTGCATCTGGAGGTGTAGATGTCTGTGATGGTGGGAAGACAGATTCCAACAGATTTCTGTGCAGCCTTCACCACTCTCTGCAAAGCTTTTCTTTCTGCAGCTGTGCAGCCTCCATGCCACAC